TTCCATTAGACTTTAGGATTGATATTGGGGCATGTCCTGATGGCACATCTGGAGATGCTGATGAGTGGGATGAAGGAGCCTAAGGGAGAATTTGGAGTGTTCCCCCAGGAAAGAAAGCAGCAGTACCCTCCTGCAAGAGGACATCTTTATCAATGTCAGGGGAGGGACTACTTCAAAAAGCAAGGAGGGCCCAGTCATGTTTGGGAACTCGGGATATTCCAGGTTTTCAAAGTATACCCATTTCCTCTCATTTCCACCTCTTTCCAGTCAATCAACAAAAGAGACCTGGCAAAATTAAGACTTAGTAGACATTGTGATCTGGAAATGCACAGAATGAAATTGAAGTTGGGAATTGGCCACCTTGGCTTGTTACCTCTGGGGAGAGGGACAGGATTGAAATTGAAGTGGTTTGTGAAGGAGTCTTTATTTTAATCTGTAGCTTCTTAAAAAATTAAAGGATTCATGCATTTTATATTAAAATTAATTTCAAAATTATAGTATAAGTAGTATGAAAAATAGTGCTTTTTTCTTCAGGAATTCAGTAGGCTGGAACAATCACTATTGGGCAGGCACAGCAATATGGCTCTGTGTGACATGTCCCCACAGGCATGTTCCTAGGACCCCTTCTAAAAATTTGCCACTGTTATGTTCCCAGTCCCATGGTATACAGTAAGTCCTCACTTAACATCATGGATAGGTTCTTGGAAACAGCAACTTTAAGCAAAAACAACATATTGTATGCCATAGGAACTTCATTCTTGTTTATGTCAGTTAGCTTATGGTAAAATTGGTTTTCTTACATGGTATTTTGTTTTAACGTCACTGTTTCTGAGAACCTATCAACAGCGTGAAGTGAAGACTTACTGTATTTGATCCTGTCTTGCCATATTCTCCCTGGCTGTGATTGCTTCTCACCTATGTTCACAATCTCTCAGATCCTCAGATTTGACCCTACCCATTACTTCCCCAGTCATAACTGTGGCCTCTTTAGACTACAACTCCTTCTCTGTGGCAACATATTATTAATCACTTGGAATAACAATACTCATATCTCAAATTTCCTTTACTCCTATTCAAACAGATTGATTTCAGGATAGAACTTAGACAATATTGAATAATAGATAATAAGGAATATATAGGCTGGCATAGGATCAAGGCGAGGTGCCAGGACCCCACCTACTGTCATCAGAGAACTCTGCCAATAAGAGATAACTATTTAGGGCCGGGCGCTGTGGCTCACGCCTGTAATCCCAGCACTTTGGGAGGCCGAGGCGGGCAGATCACGAGGTCAGGAGATCGAGACCATCCTGGCTAACACGGTGAAACAGAGCGAGACTCTGTCTCAAAAAAAAAAAAAAAAAAAAAAAAAATTGAGGATGATTTTTTGTATCTGTCACCCAGGTTGGAGTGCAGTGGCACAATCTTGGCTCACTGCAACCTCTGTCTCCCAGGTTCAAGCAATTCTCCAGCCTCAGTTTCCTGAGTAGCTAGGACTACAGGCGTGAGCCACCACACTTCGCTAATTTTTGTATTTTTAGTAGAGATGGGGTTTCACCATGTTGGCCAGGCTGATCTTGAATTCCTGACCTCACATGATCCGCCCACCTCGACCTCCCAAAGTGCTGGGATTACAGGCATGCGCCACTACACCCAGCTGGTGGTGATGATTTTTAAAATATATTTATATGTGTTCTAGGTGCTTTATATATATTGTTTAATCCTCTCAGTAACTCTAACAGGCAGATTCTATTACTAGTCCTATTTTATAATTGAAGGAACCAAAGAACATTAAGTGACTTGCCCAGGATCATACAGCTTGCAAATAGTGGAACTGAAATTCAAACCAGGAAGGCCAGCTCCTGAGTTCCTGCTGTTAATCATGGGTGATAAGACAAAACCCAGTGAAGAAAGAGGATGGCATTTTATCTAGACCAAGGAAACAGTATACTAAAGGCAGTGAAAACATTAGAAAACATGGTTTGTTTGAGTACAACAAGGCATTTAGTATGGCAGAAGTATAAGTAGTAAAAATCAGTTCATGAAGGGACTTATTTGCCAGATTTTATCTTATGGAAAATAAGGCATTGTTGAAAGTTTTAAGTGGGACGATAACATGATCAGAATTGTACTTTTGAACAATTCCCCTGGTAGGGATGAAAGTTGGACTGGAATAGACTGAAACCAGAGGTGCAGACTATTCAGATGTGTTTGTGTTGTCCTGAGGATATGATGAGGGCTAACCAGAGCAGCAACACTAATAACGGAAAAAGAGGAGAGGAAGTTGAATGCCACAAAATGAAACCGAAACTTTTGTATTTCAAATGTTTCAACAGTATTCTAGAGAGAAGTAAGATAATGGTGTTCCTCTATTTGCCTCTGACTTCTTGTTAATGAAATAGTACTCATTAAAGTCTTGGGAGTCACAGATATTGTTTAGCTTAGGTAAGCATTTTACAACTTTTCAGACACAAGTACATAAATATTATTTTACAACCAAAAATATTTAATGTTTCCAAATTGAAGAATAGATGTGATAATTAAATCTTTTATAAAGTTTTAAAAAGACATGAAACATAAACCTAATTATACATAAAAGAAAAGAATTTTAAACAAGAGCTTATTGTGATGACATTACTCATAACTTTTACCTTTAAAACCTTTTCTTGAGTAGCTATTCAAAAGTAAAGACCGCAAATTTTGTTGCTCAGATATTTCTTATGTTTTGTATATTTAAGCTCTTTATTTATTGAACAGATGTGTCATTAATTGATTTGGAGCATTACTATTAGTAAAATTTGATTTTTTCCCTCAGTCATCGGTAAATCAGCTCCACCTGGAATTTCTAAGGACCCAGTTTTAGTCAATATTTTCAAGGAATGATAACATCAGAAATACAGTCTTAATTAAGATAACAAATATTAGCCATCAAAATGGAACCAAGACAAGATTCTAATGTTTGTAAATAGTCAATCCATATTTGTGAACATTAGCATATGTTAGTGAACAGTTAAGGCAAAAGACTCTAGCAGATAGCTATTTCCATCAACATGTTAAATGTTATAAAAGTCTAGAATTATTGGTAACATGAAATGATTCCAAGACGGAATTTCTGTGTTACAGAATTTACTAGAAAAGTGCTGTGAAAGGAGAATGAAAAAATGATCCCTTGAAATAATGCGGAAAGATAGGACAAGCTTTTGGATATTTACATAGATTAGTGAATTAGGTGCAAAATTCTCCTGAAGTTATACCTAGTTCCCATTAAATCAGTGGACACTCTGGATATGAGCATATATACCTTTCTTTAGAACTGTATTTTGTGATAAATCCATTTTTACTTACAGGAATTTACTTAAACTTATACACACATTAATTATATATACTAAATGAAAACGACCTTATCTGAAACAAATACATTGTATAATATCAAAACGTTTTTAGTCTTTTTTAAAAAGCAAAAAGTGAAAAAACATTAGTTACATCATTTACATTTGGTATCCCACCTAATAGATACACAGCTTTTGAAATCTACAATATTTTACATTTTGGTCATCATTTAATGCTATTTGCATTCCTCTTGCTTTAACATTTTAATAGCATTTGTGATATATCATGTTTAACTGAAAGCTTTGGGTTATGTATTTTAAAGGAATATCTCTTTTTGACTAAATAGTTCTGTAAGGGCCTAATATTTGAAAAATTAACTTGTTACCTGAAGCAATGATCCTCCCTAATCATTTTAAAATAATGGGTAAAGATGCATCTTTGTAAATATATTTTGAAAACTTGGTTAGTGTATTAGAAACAGACATCAGAAACTTAAAAATTTATTTCTAGGACTGGCATACACTACAGCGAATTACTTCAAATGTTACTCTAGAGCATTTTTTAAAATATGAAGAATATTGCTGTTCTCTCTGAGATGATCCCTTTTTTACAATGATGAAATTAAACACATTTAAAAAGTCTTTTAAATATTATATATAGCATTCCAGAATTACTGAATGAATTATAAAAATTACAGATATTTCTGTTTGGATAAAAATCTCTCTCTTAATTTCTAATAGTAAAATAAGCAATCTACCAGTCAGGGTTGAAATATATAGTATTTGAACTACTGTTCTATATATTTCAAAATTCATGTTTTCTATTTGTCCTAGGAAAACTTAGCCTTCTATGAAGTGAATCACTTAATGATATTATTGCTTTGGATATAAAATTGGCCTCAGAGTATTATAGCCTATAAGTAAATGCTTCATTCCCCACATACCCCTAACCTGCCAGAAAAAAACAAAAAACAAACAAAAAAAACCTACCAGTAGTCTAGTACAGTAGTGAGCAATCTTAAATTAAAAGCTATTGTTTACACAGAGCAGAGGAAGACAATTTTCATGTTAAAGCAGTTTTCAACATCAAACATCTAAGGAGTTCTAAACTGTAAATGAATTACCTTTAAACCTGGTCTTCACAGTTACATTGCTTTCTGAATGTAGCATAATGTGACATTATGCTACCACATTTTTAAACGGTTTAAATGATAATTATTTTACATTTCATGAATGATAGATGAACAAGTTTAATTATATATGTATTAGTTCCCTTAGTCTGCGAACGAAAATGCTGTAGGGTTGTTCTGTTGCAAAGTAAATGCTAAATAAAGTTTATCTCAGAATGAAGATTACCCAAATAATTATAGCCTGAAAAGGGTGATATACCTTCAGATGAGCTTAAATCATGGCCCAAATAAAGATAACTTAGTGTAGAATCTAGCCTACTGAATAAAATTTATTATTTTTTTGTTTGAGACAGAGTTTCGCTCTGTCACCCAGACTGGAGTGCAGTGGCTCAGTCTTGGCTCACTGCAACCTCTTCCTCTCAGGTTCAAGTGATTATCCTGCCTCAGCCTCCCGAATAGCTAGGATTACAGGCATGTACCACCATGCCCAGCTAATTTTTGTATTTTTAATAGAGACAGCGTTTCACATGTTGGCCAGGCTGGCCTCAAACTCCTGACCTCAACTGATCTGCCCGCCTTGACATTCCAAAGTGCTGGGATTACAGGCGTGAGCTACCACACCCAGCCAACAATTATTTTTTAAATATAGCAAGTAATACAAGCAATAGAAAATGTTTCAATTAATAGAAATTAAGAGAATTATAAATAAATCTAATGTATAATTCTCAATATTCCTAATTGCTTGCAAGTGTCCAGTGGATAACAGCATAACAACAAAGGACCCCTTTAAAATGCATTGTTTTTCAGCTTTATTTCAAATGCTGTGTAGCATAAGAACCTAGCAGTCAGACATCATTTTTTAGCTATGAAAAATATGAAACAAGGCATATTCTAAAATGCTGAAGGAATTAATTGTCCTGTTAGATAACGAATACCTGGAGGAATGAACAGAGTGATTTATGGCTTAAAGTGCTTGGGTCTGATCATCATCTTAGCCTCTTTGAAGGAGGACTTGTAGCCACCAGGGTGTGCCTCACTTACACCAGGCCAGGTGCCCCAGAAAATCCCATTACGGACACCTCTGTATTTTTGGTGATAATATTTGCCATTTAAGTTTGCAGAAAGACATGCGTCAAACCACCAGCCTGAACTGTAGTACAGCCCACAGTTCCCAGAAGGATATCGATCATTGTCTTTATCCGGGGTGGTGAAAAACTTCAGATCATGGTTGTAATGTTTGTTGAAACGTAACGCATCTCCAGCTGTGCCATTATAGTTACCAACGTGTAAACGGTATTTGAGAAACTCATTGGCCACGTAAAACTGATCATACAAGGCATATAGTTTGACACCATTAAAGTCTTCAAGATCTATTCTCAGAATCATTTCCTTACTCTTGGTCAGAAGATGAATTTTATCGTTCCCCAGCCAAAATTCCCTTCTGAGGTTTCCAAAGCCTGCTTTGTAGTCTTGCCATGTTCTGGTGAAGTTGGTGCTCCCATCGAGACGTGCCTGCAGCACTGTCCAGCCTCCCCCCATGGTCTCCATGTCACAGTAAACTTCAAAGCTACGATTTTTGGGATCAGGTGTAACTCTGTAGGTCTCACTGCTTCTTTTGCCTATTGCATAGTAGTCAGAGCAATCTTTATATATTAGATGTTGAACTGAAGAGGAAGAAAAGGAAGGCATTGGATCTTGTTAATAGAAACCATGCATCTGAAGAATTCTTTATATGTACAAAAGCAGTTTGATAATTCAATCAATGGCAGTAATGAAACTTTACTAAACTTACTTGAACCTGTTTAGCAAATGCTTGTTAAGGCCTCAGAAAAAGAACCTGATGTTATGAAGCAGAAAGGACCTCTAATATACTCTTGGTTGGTAGTAATAATGACAGCATCAATAGCAAACAACAATAAGAAAATAATAAATTACAGTTTTAATAATTTAATGTTATTTAGTGAGGCCTACCTATATGTTCTAGGCATGCTGCCAGACTGGATAACATTTTCATACTGAATCTGAACATTGACCTTATGATGTAGGCATTACTGCCAGTCTGTATGTGAGGATATTTAGGCATAAAGGTCAGTGGCTTGCCCAACTTCACACAAGCTTTAAGTGGCAAAGCCAGGACACTAACTCAGATCTGGCTGGCAGCAAAGCTTTGTTCTCAATCATTGCATTCCTTGGTCCTAAAAATCAGATGATTCCTACTCTCAGAACTGTATTCCATGCATACAGAGGAAGCATAGGCTTCTATTGTCTTTCACCTAAAGGGGCTGATAGCCTCTACTGTCAGAAGGTTTTATAGGATATATTCCAAATGATGTGTTAAAATCCTAATGGATAGCGTTGATCATAAATTCATGTTTATTTTACTTGACAGCTATATAAAGAAGCTCAAGTGAAAAAGAAATATCTTTTTCAATAATATACCAATATTCTTATTCTGTATTATCTAGGAAAGTAGCCACTATTTCACATGTTGGGTTTCTAGAAAGAAACAACAGGTGACTATTTTGAGGATAAGCATAATAATCAGTAACAAAGTTCTGTATGAATCAAAGACATATTTACTCCTAGATAGTTTTTGTTAAAATGTGTGACAAATAAGGTAAATTTAATATGAGATACCCTAAGGCATACAAATCTATCCCTGTATATTTAGAGCTCAGAATATTCAGTTATTTCCCCCAAAACATTTAGAAGAAAAATAGACAATAGAGTCTTGTTCATATCATGACAAGTTGCCATGCAGCATCTAATCTAATGTATACCCACAGATGTCACCTAAGAGGTGAACCTCAGATTCGCAGTGTGCCACATACATTCAGATGCAGGTTGCCAGGAGTATTAGCAACAGAGGTCCTTGAAAATATGACCCTTCCCTCCTTCACTGGCAGATGCCCTGGGGATGGAGCATGCCTGAGATACTGTCTCTAAATGAAAGTGATCTCCGCCCTGTCCCTTCAACCTCACATTCACGGTAAGTAGAGCTCCAAATGCAGAGATGGCTTTCCCAAGTATAAGGAGACAGCAACAGTGGTCCCAGTGACTCAGGTGAAAAGCCAAGGTTTGGGGAGCCAATGCCACTGTTAGTTCATGGGTGGAGTAGGCGATTAAGTCTGTGGAATTTCGCATGTGTTTATTAAAGTTAATTCAAGTAATTTGGATGATGAGGATGGGTTCTACTTTTATCTGCTTGAATTCTAACTTCAGGTAAAAGAGAAAGAAATAAGAATATATTCCTTCCCTTAGTGGCATGCCAAAACTCTCCCCTTAAAACATTTTTTGTGCCAGTAGGTCTCAAAGCAAAAATGTTTGCACATGTATGAAACTGCTTTTATTCCATCTGTAAACTCTCCCATTTTCTCCAGATAGTTGGGATTAAGAACTACAGATTAATTGCTAAAATCTTTCAAAGACCTCTTTAGCCATGAGAAGTGGCAGTGAGCCAATCACAAGAAAAACTGATTTCCAACAAACAAGGCACAATTGTGAATCTTATCTTTATTGTTTTCAAACACCTCATTGAAGAGACAAGTTAAATGCACTAAAACATCAAGAAATTCTCTCTACTTCCGCTTGCATGTAGGTCTGGCATTAGCAAATAAGATCTTAAAATTGAAAGTGACTTCTAGTGGATACAAAACTATGATTTTTATAATTAGGTCATATATTATTTATGTGGTCATATTTGAGAAGATAATTACTTTTCCTGTGTACCTTGATAAATAAAAGACTTAATCTGTCATCTATTTAACTTAGATTAATGTTTATAGATACTCTCTATATAACATTTATGAACATATGATAAGAAAACATTATTATACATACCTGGACGTGACTGTATTTGTTCTTGGCTGGGACACTTTGAACATTTGCCATCCAAACTATTGACAACAAATGTTAGATTTGCCACTTTGCTGTCAACATAATTTTCTATGTTGTTCATATTTACAAGATTCAGCTTCTCTAGGCGACCATGAAGTACATTGATCTCCTCTTTGGCATTCTTTAGCTCAGAGGACAGCTTGTTAACCTCACTCTCTAATTCTCTAACTCTGTTATCACCAACCTCTCCCGGGGCTCCTGTACTGGGTAACAGCAGTCCATTTCTGCCTGGGTCTCCGTTGTCATCAGCCTGCAGCTTGCAGTCTTGGCAAGATTTCTTTAGACTGTTTACGATTTCCTTGAGGTTCTGGACTTCTTTGAACACCTCCTCGATCCTGCTGAATTGCTTCGGGAGCTGAATAGTCAAGGGGGGCAGGCTTACCTGGTAGGGGCACTCCCCTGCCTCTTCGCATTTCCCTCTGCTTTCTAGTCTCACTGGGCAGATGTCCTTTGCTCTTTCATCTTGAATTTCTTCTGTTTCATTGTTTGCCACAACCAAAAAACTGTAAGTGGCAAGAACAGCTGAGCTCAGCCAGTACCAGTTAGCCAGCTTCATCTTCACAGTGCTGCTCACCCCAGCAGGGAGTGTGCAGGACTGGAGCTGCTTTAATAGCGGCAGCTGCCTGAGTCAGGCTTTCTGTGTTCCCAGAAAAGGGTGGGAGCGTTTGCATCACAAGTTTTAGAAACGCACAGGAAGAGGAGATAGCCCTCATCAAAGGCAGTTTGCCAAAAACTGTAACTTACTCTCAATAGAAATAACATGCATTGAAATTATTATAGTCAAATGTACATAGTCAACAAGAATCACTTTCATACTATATTTTATCAAGCATAAGAAAAGTCTTACATTTCTAAAATAATTTGGTATACTTACGCTTGAAGTAAATAATTATACTTCACTGGAAAAACAGTTTTTAAAGATAAGAAGTAAGAGCTAGTTATCCAAACTGTCTGCAGAACAGAAACGTTACTAAAATGAAAATGGTCCTTTTTTCTTAGAATGGGGCATGGGAGAGCCTGTATTTTCTTCATGTTGGACTTTCAGGTGAAATCTTAAGCACCTTTAGAAGTTTCTAAGTATAACAAAGTACAGCTTTCTGACTATTGTAATTGACTTTTGCTTCATCTACTTGAAAAAGAGAAGAAAACTGGTAGAGAAAAAAGTGCTACTTTCTATTCCTTTGTAGCATAGTGTATATAAATGTCTTAAGTGCCTAAGACCCATTTAAAAGGACATCATTGTCTTTCATCAAAACCAATAGCTGCCTCCTTTGCCCTTGGACATTTTGGTAATTGTACTGTCATCTTCCACAGCTGCTCAAATGTGAATCTTTGAGCTGTGCCAGTCTCCGTCCTGAACTTCTCTTGCCTATAACATCTTTGCCCTTTCTTTCTGCAGGTAGCCCTGGCAGGCCGGCCTCTTGCTTCTGTCTCCACGCTGGTTCCTCCATCTGCTCTCTGGGCCACTTGGTATATCAGCTTGTTCAAAACATGCAGTACTAATGATAATCATTTTGTAACTTTCTCTTCAGAGGCTGAAGTCAGGAAAGAGGAACAGCTTCAATTAGAGAAACCACCTCCTTTTAATTTGTTTTGCATGTTGACATCTCATAAGATTTCTTGTTTAAAAAGGGTTTTTTTGCTTCAAAAATAATTTCAAAATGACTGACAAAATGACTGACATGGGCAAAAATCTAAATGTTTTATTGTATTACTTAAAACACTCTGTAGCCTATATCATATTTGTTTCTTTAACCTGATTTCCTGTGACTTTTCTATATATCCTCTTAATTTTAGCCAAATCCTATTCACGTTCTCAAAATGTTGGCAGACTCTCTTTACACTTCCGTGACTGTATTTATTCTCGCATACTCAGGAGACCTGGCTTCCAACCCTAGATCTACCCCTGATGGTATAAACAGATCATCAATGTTACTGAGCCTTTGTTCCTGTAGCTGTAGCGGAGGAATTTAGCTATGTCTTCCCTCGTACAGGAATGATAGTTACGCAAACTTGGAGCACTTGGCTGGGCGTGGTGGTTCACGCCTGTAATCCCAGCACATTGGGAGGCCGAGGCAGGTGGATAACCTGAGATCAGGAGTTCGAGACGAACCTGACCAACATGGTGAAACCCCATCTCTATTAAAAAAAAAAAAAAAAAAAGTTAGCTGGGTGTGGTGGCGTGTGCCTGTAATCCCAGCTACTCAGGAGGCTGAGGCAGGAGAATCGCTTGAACCCAGGAGGTAGAGGTTGCAGTGAGCCTAGATCATAGCACTGCACTCCAGCCTGGGCAATAAGAGTGAAACTCCATCCCCCCACCCCCACCCCACCCCCCAAAAAAGAAAAAAAAAAAAACTTGGAGCACTTAAGAAAAAAAAATGCAGTGTATAAATTCTTCCCAAACAAATTGGTCAAACATGTTCTACACACCTTATGACTTATTTTCTTCCATCTTCATACAGCTCTTTCAAAAATTGTTTTTCTCTTCATTCCATTCAATATATTCAATTTTAGACAAAAACTTTTTAGCTAAAAATATCTATTTAATCCCCTAACACCTAACCTCATTTCTCTCTCCTCACCTATTTTCAAGCTGTGACACTTCCCTTTGGGGAAGTAAGAAATGAAACAATAGACAATTTAAAAAAGGAGAAATGGTGACAACATAGGTTTAAAAAAACATTTTGTCAAGTAGAAATATATAGGAAAGATATTTAGTTTCTAGTCCTTAAGGGCATTGTTAAATGTCCTTCACTGACTAGAGTATAAATCCCTACATTGAGTTAGTAAAGTATTTATTAAGGATCTTCTGTGTACTCAGCACTATGCTAGAGCATATATAAGATGCATGCCATAGGCACTTTCATTCACTCATTCATTCCTCATACATATATTGATATCCTATATATTTATTCATTATAAATTAACTCTGCGCCCTCTGCATGCAAAGCCACTATTCCAGGCACTTGGTCCACACTGGTGAACAAATCAGACAAAAATCCCTTTTTCCTTCTTAAAAAGGGGCATTAAGGACCTGGTATTTTCTTCACGTTGGACTTTCAAATGAAATCTTAAGTACTTTTTAAAGTTTCTAAACCTAACAGAAGTATAGCTTTTGGACTCTTGTAGTGGGCTTTTGGTTCATCTGTTTGAATCAGAAATTTGCATGTCAAGCACTGCTGCTGGTTTTTGGCTAGTCACACCCCAGTTAACCAAGGGCCAATGGCACAGTTCCACCTAAAAAGCTTGGATGCTCTTTCAGAACTGGCTTCTGTCCCTTCAGGATCCATAAAAATTCCCCGACATATGGGTACAGAACTGCTCTATTGACCAGTTTCATTGACACTGATAGGTGATCTGCTAGGTTCTCGGTTTAGAAAGTCATTTGGCCACTGACTGGAAGGCAGATGCTAAGTGACTACCACGTGAAAGAGGCTCGACTCCCCTAATAAGTGTATAGCTCATGGTGGCAGGGTGTTGTGCTGCCTCGACAGTTCCTACCTGCACTTGCAGATGAGCAAAGAAAGGGCTCAAAGCAATAAATGACTTGCCTGGTCATTTTACAGTTTTCAGTTCTGGTTTTAGAGTTTTTAAGAGACAGCTGGAATTTGAACTTGTATGTGATTCAAAGTTCATATCTTTTCTCTTTGCCACATTGCCACGTAGGAGGAAAGATAACATGGGGAGGGTATGTTAGAACTACGTGGAAAGCCTGTGCTTAAAGCAATGCTTGGATAATGGGGAGCCACTGAAGGTTTTTGAGCAAGGAAAATAAAACCTTTCCCCCACCCCTAGGATTACTTTTGGGAATGAATCTTCTGCTAGAAATCAGTGGCAAATGGCATTTTAGGTGAGAGCTAGTAGTGTGGTAGCAGGCACTAGATAAGAGGTGAACCAGTGTGGAGGCAGGAGGGGTAGGAAAGGAGATGGAGGCATTATTGCCAAGGCGTGATAGAAGCCATGGGATCTGATAAGTGGTGAGAACTAGACAGAGAGGGAGAACTCTGAAATTTGCCTCTGATTGCAGTTAAATGATAGCATTCTAATGACAGAGGTAGCAGTAGGTTGGAGAGATTGTAGTAGTATTTCTCTTTTCAGTACATTGGGTTTTAAGTATTGACAAGCCACCAAATGGAAATATCAAGCAAAGAGTGGACATCTAGGTATGAATATTGACACAGAATAGATGTGGATGTCAATTTGAAATCACAGGAATCAAAAGGATGGCCAAAGAAATAGGATGAGAACCAGGACAGTACAGGAGCATCATGAATACCAGGAAAAGAGAGGGTTTCAAGCAGGACTAGGCCATCAGAAAATCGAAACCTGAAGAGCTGACTTGTCCTTCACTACTAGGAGTTACCACCCTGTGACTTGACCTTCTGCCTCCTCCCTCTTGCTGAAAGCCCTTCTGGATTCTCTCATGCTGAGCCTACCCTGACTCCTAGTGTCGGCTGTTTATTCCTCATGGCAGTGTCAGAATCTTCCTTTCTACCCCGAATCCATCCTTGACCCAGCACTGACACATACTCACTTATAGACTTGTTTTTTAGATTTAAACAAATTATTTAACACCAACACATGGTGGGATTTTAAAGTAGCAAGATTATTTCTATAAGCCACATATGAAATTTTACTTTCATTAGCCTATATTCACATGTTTAGACTTCCTTTTTGCTTTCACAAAGTATATTTAAGAGAGGATCTGCATTTTCTATACCTGGATCAGATTCCTAAAGTAAATTTTTGTTTCCCCTAATATAGTTTTTTTTTTTTGAAGGAAACCCTTTGTGTTTCTACTTGTACCAAAAGAAGAAAGTAAATTTAATGATAGTCATATTTATAGTATTGAGAGCCTTTCATTGATATTAAGCTTATTAATTTAACATTTGTAGTTTCTGATTTATTAAACTCAGAAACCTTTAATTGCTCTTTAAAGAATATGTGCTTTTCTGATAAGAAAATTAAAACATTCACTTTTTAAACTACTTAATTTGAAATGTCAACAGTAAATATTTATTTTAATATTCCTTAGAGGTCTTAGTCCTTGTTCATTATAAATTTCGTGAAAATAATTTTAAAAAATGATTTCCACAACCCACAGAACAAGAATTGCCTGATTTTGGTTAAAGCTAGAATAATAGTTGGTAGGCTCTGTGTATGACTTGCAGGTACTTCATTCTGGCATAGATGAGAGATTCAGACTAGAAATCTTCCAGTATGGACCTACAATGAAATATCTATTATGGGAATCCTTCAGATTTCTGGATCAACTGAAGTATAGGGCAGAAACATACAGATATCCACTATTAATGAAACTACAGAACATAGTTATCCAATATGCTGATGGCACAGGTCTTAAGTGGGAGTATCCAGGGCCTCTCAGATTGAAATTTTATGGAACTGGAATATTCCACAAGAGTCTTGGAAAGTTCATTAGTCAATACTTATCAACAAAATCAATTCTTACGTACTCCACACCAAGCCAGGGATCATGAAGGATCCAAAAGGTTCATGAGATATGACATCTAATTTACTGTAATTTCCCTAAATTTCCAGAGACTTAGGAAGTTTCGTATA